TGTATCGTATGCACCATCACCTATAACAAAGAAATGGCTCTATGGGCAGTTTCTTACAAGAGAGCAGCTGTGAGCTGTTCCATGATAAGGAAATGCATGTTTGAGTAAATATATTTGCAACAGAGACTGAGCAGAAGTCACTCAGAGTAACAGCTGCTTGAGTTGATGGAAAAGGTGCACAGAACGGAGAGGTTGCCTGTGTAGTGCTACTCTATCCCTGCATTTGTTGCTAAAAAATATAGCAGGTTTAGAAACTTGCATGCCTCTGAAAAGGTTACTTTCCCTCACCAATGTTGTATTTTACTACATAAACAAGTATTCAGGCTGTTATTGAGCACAGTATTGGCTGGTATAATTATATAAATTGCTACTATTGAATGCCAAGTCACTCTGGCAAGTATAGCTTTTAAGGCATTAGAAAACATTAGGGTATATGATTTTGGTATTTGCTATCCGTGAATGTGTGAAAAATAGGACTCAAGCTAGTTACCTATTTCCCATTATGTAAAAAAAAAAAGTTTGTTTTTAGAAATGTAACTAAACTACAGTGAATGTTGCCATGTTTTCAGATGGGACTCTCAATTCACTGCCTTGGTACAGCTGCCTCATAACTTCAGTACATAACAGATATTTGAGGATGTAAACAAGAAAGTACTGGGGCCAACCTCAAGGCCAGCTGCTGGCATCTGTTACCTGCTTTTGCATAAATTACAAAAGGACTATCCATAGCTCAGAGCTTCACTTCTTCACCATCACAAGTAAATCTTTTCTTAATCAAGATACATTCACAAAACAGAGCAGTCTAACATGACTGGATATGGCATCATGTCCTTGGATCTTTGCAAGAGACATGTTGCCACAGCCATTGTGACCTCCTGGAATGGCTGGCGCATGGCTTGGAAGGGAAAATCTGTTCGCAAAGAGAAAGAAACCTATAGAAAAACATGTCCCTAAACCTGTGGGTGCTTTACCTTCTCCGAGACTTATGTTTTTAATTTGAACAAATCAGGGAAGTGTGTGGCATTGTCAAGAGCTTCCAACGCTGTTGCAGTAGCATTTTAATTAGGTGGGTGTGTATTTTTATGAATATACATAATTAAGCATTCAAGTACCCAATTAGTGAATAGCTATTGCAATGAGGCAGCTGGTGCCAGGGAAGAGCACAAAATACTTACATCTTTTCATAAATTCTTTTTCATGTCTTTCCAGAAAGCAAAAACTGGAGGGCAAAATTTTCTAAGCAGAAATACGAAGTTGTGCATATAAACTAGATCTAAACCCACCTCTTTCCCACCCGCTTAAAATAAAACACTAGACATCTGTCACTGCACTGAGTTTCAGTTTAATCCAGTTAAAAACTAATCTATACAAAGTAGAGGGGTTTCTTTTTTCTTTTTTCTTTTTTCCTCTACACATATTGCACTGGAGGATATGAATTTGTACAACATTGACCAAATCTTACCCCTTCATCCTCCTACTGAAATTCCAGCCAAGTACAAAACTACATCTCTGCATCTTTGTCTTGGAACTGCTGTCTGTATGAAGTTACATCAATTTTCTTGTAATCACCTCCTAAATGAAAAGCAGAGTACAGGTGAAAGCACTGATGCTCATGATAATCCAGTCCCTTATTTATCTGTGATTATAGCTTTCTACTTCCTCACTTAGCTGTAAGCTTAGTTTAATATTTCTTTTTTCAACTTTAAAAAGCTCCTGAGAAATCAGTACCATGGCAGAAACATGCTTTTAGAGGCTAATACTTTTAGACTCTCTTATGGAAGAGAGAACCCAACTAAAAGAAGACACCAGCATCAAAAAGAACACACACATTAAAAAGCAACACATCTGCTAAACGTGTCATATGTAAGCGTGACTTCAGCACACTGCATAACCTTTAAGGCAGATGTTCCTCACAGTGAGATAACTCTTAAGCCACACTTCCGAACTGATCCACTAAAATAGTCTGATGACTTTATTACACTCATGTGGAGAGCTCTTTTAGCCTGGGCCTGAAGAATGAGACTCTTCCTCTGTGTAGGAGGATGAGATGGACAGTACTGAGTGAACGTTGTCAACAGACCAGAGCTGACAGACCGTCTTTTGAAAGGACGTCCACTCAGTCCTTGCTGCCTTTATCGACACGTGATACAGGTACCCGTGCACACAAGATTTTTCAATTGGGTGGACAAGCATGACGTTCTTATTTGGGCTCTCATCTGAAAAACATTGAGGCAACAAACTAAAGATGTGTTCAGTAGGAGTTTCCTAACTAAAGCGTTACTGAGGACTGAGGCTCGGACTTCCATGTAATTTAGGGCAAATAATTGTCAGTTTGACTAAACCTTGATTATTGTTAAGAGATAAACCAATTCTAAGGTTTAAAAAAATGCCTGTTTCCACTTTTAAAAGATGAACAGCAAGTCTGTAGTATATTGGCAAACTCCAGGCCTCCTAATTAACACCGACAAGAACAACATTTAGGTATCAGACAGCAACTGAAGGAAAGATGCACGCTGTTTTACTCTGAACACACCTCAGTGGCTAGCTGAAATGCAAAATGAGGAACATCCACTAACACTAACTCACGAGGAAACAAGAAGTGAAAACTCTGATTTCGTCATCACCACTGACACTACAGAGTGGCAAGCAGAAGCTGAGTTCAGCACCCAAGTTACAACAGTTCTTTACAAAACTAGATGTTTCAAAATAAATGGGATAAGGGGGATATAATGCCCTTCTCCAACAGCAGGGAGAGTCAGGATCTCACAATCAAAATAGAAGAGGCTGCACTGAAACCAAAGCTTGAGCATTACATTACAAAGCATGGCATTACATATCATGGCATTTGCTAGGAGGCACATGTAGCCTGAAGGAATGATTTGTATGGTGGAAATGCCTTCGCACCAAAGGTTTCAGTCCTTGATTCTCTACAAACATCTGTGGCTGTACCATTTGTCCTCTGTAAACTTTCACACGAGATGGGGAGAACACAAAATAAAACCCCCCTCACCTTTTCCACGGCATTTGAGTAATTCCCTCTTTGCTTCCTTCCTTGATCTGTTACCCATCACCACGCTACAACCCCAAGGCCAGGGCTGTGCACTATGAAATGCTACCATTCTGGGCGTAGCTTAACTATTCTCTGGGCCTCTCAGAAAACAGATGAAGGTGTTGAAAGGTATTTTAGTCTCCTGACAAAGATACAATCAAACTGATGTTAGAATTGCATGGAAATGACAAACAGTGGAGACACTGGTTTTGGAAACTAAATTAAAATGTTGACCACTTGTGTAGAGAAGAAACAAACATGGGTAAAAGAAGTCCAATTGTTTAAGTGGTATAAACAAAGGAAATGTGATATGATAACTAACAAAGTGAAACAGATAAGGAAACCTTATTTGTTCCAGCAGTGAGTTCTATTACATTGTGTGGAGAACAAGAATATGCTCAGGCCTGATGAAAGATCCTTAAACGTGGAACGAATATGCCTAGCTTCCATCAATCGAAGTTCTTTAGAGGGAGAAACTTTCCAAATCTCAATACAATGTGTTAGTAATTGCCCTCGTCTTTTTTTGAGTTTGCCTAAAATATTCATGTCTTATTTTGAAACAAACATATTTCTAGAACAGAAGCTTGCCTCTGTTTCTTTGCTCAAAACCCAAATGATCTCCTTTAATGACACTCTCAGTACTTAGCCACAGAACAGGAAGGAAATGCAAAGAATACTTGCCAAGGTGTGTGTGTCTCAGTTCAAAACCAGCATTATACAATCAGAACAATTCATATTTTAAACAAAAAACCCAACATATAAACTCAAGAAAACAAAAAAACAAACAGGGTTTATGCTTTAGGATACTTTCCACCTGAAATGAATGACAAGCAAGGACAATCACACAGCTTTTCAAAGTTATAGTAAAACCCACAGGAAAATCAACTTATTCCTGTAAAATCTTGCCTTACAATATTAGAGACCTATCCTGGTTCAATACCAAAATAATACAATCAAGTAGCACCCTTGTTTTAGGACACTTCATAAACTTGCACTAACTGCCAAAAGACTAGCAAGAGTGAAACTCTTTAAAAAAGTCAAAGATTCATGTCTGAGAAGAACTTTCTGAAGCCCATGGTGCATTTTGAAAAGTCTGGTACAATCATAGGAGGTAGGATAATCTGTACAGAAAAAGACAGTGAGTCTGGTTCTGTTTTGCACAATATTTCCATCAACATAAAAAGCTTATTTAATAACATGCATAATTTTGAAATCAGCTGGCACCTGATGAAAGAAACAGGGACAAAAGTACTGTCCCAAGAGCCAGTTGAGCACTCAACTGCTACACAGTTAATCTCAACAACGAGGACGGTTCAGCCCAATACACCAGATGTACAGTATTCCTTTCAAAGGCTTACAGTGAAATATTTAGGCTTCTGTAAACATGAAAAATATTCACTGTTCCACATAATTCTTTGCTATATTTAGATTTAAGAAAGTGCAAATTTTCTGTGATTAAGGATTAAAAGTTCCTTTTTTTTTTTCTTGTTTTTTTTTCTTTTTTTGGTCTCAGAAGAAGAAAGGGTTTGGTAGTGCTGGAAATAGTAGGCCTTTATCTATGGTCTTTGCTTCCCTGTATTTTGCTTCTCAGTAGCTCTGGAAAGAGTTCCTACATAAATCTAGAACTAACTTGACATTCAGGCCAGTTCCCTGCTTCCCCTCTGAAAAGATTCCAATTCATGCCTAAACACAGAATGGCAGACATCTCCTCTCTTTTTACGAGAAAAGTTCAACAGCTCAGTCCCCTGGCCATAAAAATCTTCAGTATTTTTTCTTTAATTACCTTCTCCATTTTAGCCTCTAAATGATCCTCTTGTCGTGTTTCTCACTGATGCATTGGAGAGAAATTTAGTTTAATTTATGATTCAAATCTGATTGATACTTCATCTTTAACATTCCCAATGATTTTACAATCTCGGGAAGAAAGTGGAGAGTTCCTGTTTCACTCTGATTTCCTGCCCTCCCTGCCCCCTCCCGATAATAAAGATGCTATAAAGTTGAGGCACAAGTGGTTAAGGGTGAACTTGATCAGTTCTAGCAGCTGGTTCTTGGACGTGTCCTGGTGGTAAAGGCTGGTCGCCTCCAGGAGGATGTTTTGGCGCATCTCCGACTTTGTGTTCTGCCGCTGTAAAACAAGAACAAACCATTTGTAACTTTTCAATCAAATCAGCCACAAATGTGAAAAGTCTCCTAAAGGAAAGATTTTAGTGTAGGGACAGTAAACCCAAAGCTTCTATACGTTGGTTTGTAAGTGGAATCAAGACGTTTGTATGTGACTAACAATGAGATCAGATTGAGATTACCCAACAGGCTACACTGCAATAGTACTCAGTGTTTCCTCTTAGATTACTAGTTCTTTCTGTTTTCTGTGAAACATTTTTATTAGATAACACATTGGTTCTTTGGAGATTGCTCTTTCTGAAATATATTGCATCTTTATGAAACCTTTAATCCCAATATGGGAAGCTTGAAAAAAAATCAAACCCAAACAACTGGTTCCTGTATTTTACTGCTCACTGCGTCAATACTTACAGCATTCTCCTTTTGCCTACGTTTGAATAGTACTAATTTTCATAGTTTGCTGAAGATTTCTGAACTTGCGGCTGCGGTCCTGTGATTATTTTTTTTTTTGTCCTTAAATTACCCTTAGTAGAACCAGCAGCCTATAGATTAGAAAGTGTTTACTTGAATCTCCTTAACTCAGTGAATGAGTAGTGACTAACTCTGGTTAAATATAATGAATTCTTATGACACCTGATGAAATGACTTTGCAGAAAGTTTTTACAAAAAATAATATATGTGTTAAGAACAGTATCTGCTACGATACTACGAGTGTAAAAAGATGTATCATTAGTCCAACTCTCAGGGCATCTGCTATTATAAACAATATTTTTACTGAAGGTGAATGGAAATGGGGCTCTCAAATAAGGATTGTAAAATGAAATCACCTACAGGCAGTTTTGAGGCAAATGAAAGACAAAATTAAATTGGTACTGAAATTCCATCAATACTCTTCACAGAACCGAGTGGCTCAGGGATAGAATTTCAGGGCACTCAACAAAGTAATCACTGAATATAGCATTTAAAGTTTGAAATATTAGTGTTGGCCCTGCGGGAGTTGTTAAGAGCTCTGCCTAGATAGCCTGAAGCCCTGTGTTTGAGATGAATGTCAAGAAGTTCTTGAGCTGTACTGATAATGAACATGGAAGCGAATAAAGCCAAAGTAGTTTGAACTTTTCTAGAGGGAGAAAAGTGAGGATGTATGGGAGAGTGGAGCCCCTTTAAAGCACAAAAGAAACATAAACCATGTGTTATGGATAACAAGTGCTAGTATATATCTGACCATTTCATTGCCATCAGTGAGCAAATGCAATGATTTCTTTTTATGACCCTATCTTCTGAGGGTGTTGAAGCAATTGGTCATTCACACTGTCTCAAACTAACTTGTCACGTTGTGCCCAACTGCTGGTGAATTGGCCACTGAAGACAGACTTTTTGAAAGCATTTAAATGCTTTGATTTGTTCTGCAGGCTGAGGCTGGTAATGCAGCCATAGAACATCAGACAGACCCGGCCATTTCTTTTCTGGACACTCAAAAATCCTAGATCTCAATATTTTCAGACTGATAGGTACAACACAATCCTTTTTCTCTGCCAATTTGATGCTTTGCATCAGATTGTTATTTTACTATGAATTTAAAAGCACTGAGATTTCTGGAATACTTTTGAAGAGATCTATACTTTCCTCTGAAAGATTGTTTAGCGATCCTCTCTACAGAGATCATTAAAACCACATTATAGTAGCAGTTTCAACAGAAAATAAAGTCTTAACAGCTTCTGCATTGGAGATCTTATTTTAAAGTTTGTGTATCTACACAGAAAGACACATACGGGGTTGGAATTTCAGTTCTCCAGCTGGTCCCGCAGGGGGATTTCCTTGCTGTAGTTTCTTTTGTTCCATCTGTTTTACAACCTAGTGAAAAATAAAATACTCAAGTTAAAAAACTTAAATCTGTCAGCTTTCTCTGATGAAGCATAAATGAATCAACTTCAAATTTGCATTCATCACGTAATGTTAATGGGTATACTACCGAGTTGAGATGCTTGCATTGTTTGCTACAATCCTGAACACTAGATTACGTTTTGCCGTGATACCTTTAGGTTAGAATTCAACTAGGACTCGTACAAGAAACCTGGGCAAAGAATGTTCCAAAGCTGTGGACTGTCATAAGCCATTACACATGTAAGGATATAGAAAAGGAGAAAAAAAAATTCTATTCTCAGGAGTGTACCTGCTGAAACTCTTGTTTCTGAGCCTGAAGCTGGTCATGCTGCCTCTGTAGCTCTTCCTTCTGCTTCTGAAGATCTTCTGCCTTCTTTCTATTGAGAAATATGACTTTCAAATTCCTTCAGCTCATCTTCAGTGAAGAGCTGCTGTTGATCGAGTGTCTGCAAGAAAATACATAGAAGCATGAATATTTAGCCAGGAATGCATACACATTTTTATTATCTTCCCCCTGGAATTATTAGTAGCTGAACTGAACAACCCTCCGAATTTTTTCTGAAACACCCAGATGTGACACTGTAAAGGGTTACTACACTTGCTGTAAGAAAAAGTAGAATAGCTGTTGCTCAGCAAAATTCTACTACAAATTTAGAGGTAGGAGGAAAAATTCCTCTTGTTTCCAGCTGAGCCCTTACTTTTAAAGCGATTCATAAACAAAGTTCGTTTTTCTGTTTGAAAAGCACGTGGGAAATGCTCTTCTCAAATCCACGGGGTGGCGCAAGACCTTCTTAGTTTGTGTGTGGACCATAAAGATCACATTAGGCCACTACGTTTTGTACATTGCATTTAACATTTTGTATGCTGCATTTAGCTAAGGCACTTAACTGTGCAGGTGCCACAACAGAACTGAAAAAAAGCAAATGTCAGATACGTGCCATTTGGTTTCCTGGTTAGAGTGAGGGTAACACTACTGTATGTTGCACTTGGAACACGTTCTCATTACCTCCCAGCTATCTGGCTCCAAAAATTCCTTTTTCTCTGTAGCTCGCAGGAACTCTTCCAAAGTCACTAGCCGGTCCTTGTTGACGTCAACCTATTCGAAGCAAAAAATTAAACTCAGTCTAAAGGATGGGTTTCCGTGGAGCTAATGTTCAATTACATCTTTAAATATAACCATCTTATTTTTCAACTGTTGCATTTTCAAGAGAGTGCCTGCAACATCTTCTGAAAGCTCTCACAAGCTTATATAGCTTCACAAAAATGGAAATAAAAAGTAAATCCTAACATTTTACTTCAGAATAAACTGGCTTGATTGTAAACTTTATTTGTGGTCACAGCCCCAACAGTAATAGTGGAATGCATGATTATTTTTAAAGAAAAATGTTTTGTAGCTTTCTGGTAATAGTTTTGTAACTGGGAGTCAGGCTAATCTCTGTTGGATGGGGAGGTTTCAAAACATCAAAAAACTCCAACTGAATTATGTCAGAATCCTTTAAGCGGAAGGGAGGACTAACAGAAGAGGCTTGCTCTGTTCCTCAAGCTCAAGGAATATAGTTAAACACAGAAAAGATACGAGTGAAAAACACTAGTTCAAAACATTTTCCTTCTCCTCTGCCTCCTGTGCTAAAATCCTATCAGAACTGGTCACAGGTGATACTTTGAGCTCTAAGCCCTCTCATGAAGGACAAAGGTTGGCTACATGAAAGAGGCCATTGCTCTACTCCCCCTTCTCACACATTTAGTGTCTTCCCTATTTGACACATAATTCACAGGGAATTTCTCTTGAATCTCGGTATCTGCAAAAGATGGAGGCTACAGCACAATTCCTCCTGTGGAACTTAAGTAAAACCAGGTCAGCAGGCATTTACATCAGAATATGGGGCCAGGGCTTGAGGACTGCAACTTTATGTGAATCCCAGCACAAACAGCATTCAGTGTGACAGATCATCCCTTTCTGCTGTACTTGAACAAGCTTTGTGTCAGGAGGACTGTATTTCTTGAATAAAGAATGAAATCAGCAGCTCTGCTGAACATCAGTCCCCACCTCATTCATTACATGTTCTCTCATTCTCAGCCTTTCTTCTTCCATTTCAACCATGTCATCCTCTTCATTTTTGGGATCATAAACTTTTTCTAGCTGAAATTTAAAATTCGCAAATGTTAGTTTGGAGTAAGGGCTGCTCATTTAAATGTCAGAGCGTATTTGGAACAGTAGTGCAAGATGTTGCTAATAACATTTCACAGTTTTCCTACAGAGTGTGTGTGTGTGTAATTCTCCTCTTTCAGCACACTATTTAAGCAACAAGTGAGCCTTTCATTGCTAAGAATGAAGTTTTCTGTTATTTCATGTGGTCTGTAATTCAGTGCTGTGGTCATTACAGTAAAATTGACCACAGCATGCACAGTCTGATCCTACGATTTGATTAAAACAGGCAGAATTTCCATGTGGTTTCTGGAAAAGGAGAGAGTAGCTTTTCAACCAGAGCATGCAGCTGTCCCCCGGAAGCATTCAGGATATCACAAGACAAAGTCCGTGCTTAATTTAACGGTCCACTTGTCTTGCATCAACGTCTTTGTCTTTCTGGTGAGTTCACGCTCATTCACTTCTACTTAGCTTTCCTACTCACTTCACTTGGCTTGCTTTGCCACAGGTAATTTTAAAGCCCCAGACTTATTTGTTTTTAAACTACAAAACTGCAAACTGATGGGACATACCTGTCAATAAAGACTGCCAGATATCCTCATTGTATTAGACGTTTCATAGCAAAGTATCATTAGAAATCTGTATTTGCAAATTTCATTTCGTCAAAAAATTGACAGTAGTTTAAATGTATAAGCCTCTCTATACACTGTATAGCACATTTCCTCCTTGACTCATGAAATCTAGAAAAATTGTAACAGTAGGTATTGACAGCCATAGTACTGGACTTTTGAATGAGAGGTTTAGGTGGGGTTTTTTATGCTATACCTAAACAGAACCTACTGGAAAAGTTAAGACCACAGCCCCTAATTTACTCACAGATTCTGCAATTGCCATCACTGCAAAATTTCGGTACACTGCTCTCATTACTCCTCTGGGACACAACGTAGTACTAGTATTCGTGGTTTTGCAGAAAACAAACCAAGGCTTAAAGAAACTGAGAACGTGTCTACTTCATCAGATGTATATGTGCTCCAAACTAGCTAGATAAAAAATACATGAAACTTCTGCAGCCACTTCTACAACGGGCTGCCTTGGAGCCAGTTCACCTCAGCTTGACCCCTTTTCTCTCAGCAAGTCTTAGGACTTGTTGATAAGCACTGCATGAGCAGCGCTACCCGCCTTCAGCACCTCCACCAGGCTGCACCTTGCCAGAATAGGAGGGCAGTGCTCTCTGTTGCCATTCGTACAGGAATAGCTATCCTGCAGATTAATCATAACATCTCAGACAAGTCTGTGGCAAACACATGAGCACTAGATCTTTGGTGTCTGAGTTCTACGCTTCAACTACTCTATTTTCGCTGCTGATATGTTTTTACACTTTTGTAGAAATATTAAGGATGCACAAACTTTGGCATTATTCTTCTCATTTGTAGTCCAAAGCCCCTAAACATATTAGGAAAAAATACAGATATCCCTGTAACCATTTACTGAAACAAGTTTCTGAACCTTTTTTTTACCTCTTTAGTAAATAGGGCTTCTAATTCTTGCTCATCCAGGAAACCATCATTATTGACATCTACAAAGAGAAGTGTTGAAAAATCAAGTTGAGTACATACAGAAAATAAAATACGTAATAGTTCTGAGTTAAGTAAGTATCAGCATACATATCTCACGTGGATTAAAACTCCATTTAAAAAGATACTGGTTACACAGGTGGCTTTCTTCTGTTTATGTTTTTATCAGGCATTGGCTGAACTGAATTTTCATTTTCGGTTGGTTGGTTGGATCAGTCTGGAGCAATCTCCCTACTTCTTAGATTGGCAAACTGAAATAGGTCACAACAGGATTGCATAGAGTGCAACTGCCAAAAAATATTGCTGAAAACAAGCTGTCCCAATTTAACAACTGAATTTCTAAATAGATTCAGGAGCAACAGAAGAGTGAAGAAAAACTTTGTTAACCAAGAATGTGACTCTCGAAAAGCTCTAAAAAATTACATGAAAATCTATACAAACACGCAGCGCTTGAGATCGCTGTAAAATGACATCTCAAGACAAATGCAGAGAGAATATTTGGCAACTAATGACCCAGCTCTTATCCTATGCTCTGCTCTGAATATTGCTGTACTACCTCTGAAATTAAAAGAGAATGTCTATTTCAAATGAGTGTTGTTATGGAATGTTTTTGTTTAATTGCTTCACAGTTTTTTAATGTACTAAACTCTAAGGCAAAAGGTTATTTCAGCTGGTTTTGTTTTGAGATTTGCACAAAAAAGCTACCAAAAATTTTCAGAAAATTATCTTTCAAGATCTCTTTCTAAAAATAAATAAGGTTTAATAACTGTAATAGATATTTATATATTTTATAAACCAAGATAAAAGTTCAGACTTGAGCTTGAATATTTTTCTTCAGTTGAATTACCATCTTAGGGATTAGTCAAATTCTCTGTAGTGTTTGACCTTTCACAGCCCAGCGCCAGGCAGGATCTGCTCAAGGGCACTTTATTACCGAGTGTTTAACAGTGTCAGAATACAAGGTTACACATTTATATAATCACATTTAAAGCAAAATGCCCACTGAGATGCATTCTAATCTCTGCTCCTACGTTATCATTTCTAGAAGCACACTGCTCAGAAATAGAAGCAGGAGAGGGGGGCATTTTGGATTTTGTTTTATGAAGAGCACCTTGCAATTTCTGAAGAGGTTTGGCACTTCTATGACCATTCCAAAGACAAGGAGTGTCAGGCACTGATCTGCAGAGATGATGAGGAAGCAGGTTCTCCCACACACACTTCTGAGGGTTTACTCCCAGTACAGGGTGTGCAGGCACAGTTAGAGACATGCACAGTGCCCATACTCTAAAGTGCCCACACCTCTCTGAGGAATCACTCCCAGTTATTGGCTGTATGATTTTATAACTAATTAAACAAAACTATTTTCAAGTTTAAAGCCCATCTAAAACTTCGCAGTAAACTTACAAAAATAACATCTTCTCTCCTCTATACTCTTCAGGTTCATCCAAATTACTTGATATAATTTGGATGGATCAAACTTGCCCTCAGCAGAAGGTGACAGAAAGTCACTTCACTTGCTCATTAAATTAAACCAAACTTCTTACCATGTAATTTGAAAAATGTTTTGGGGTCAAACTCGTTGGGATCTAGTCCATCTGCTTCTTCCCACACCTCTTTCAGTTGATCTTTGCTTCCCTATAGATTGGTTACAAAGAAAAAACAGAAAAGACAATTAAGTGTAATTTTTCTGCATTACGTTTTCATTATGGTTTTTCTGAAAGGCTTTATTTTCCAATTAGTCATGTTGCAAATGGAATTTTCTTTAATCTCCTTTTGGTCAGGCCTAATACTTTCATTAGACAGAAAGGCCTAGCAAGTGTCAAGGAAATGTATATTCTGTGGAAAGGAACACCTGTAATAATTTAGTCGTGGCCACACAGGCTCTTCTAGGAACAAGAGATGAAGGATGTCAAATCAGTTTCCCTTTTCTAGTGCAACAGTACTGTGATGCAGTTCCTTGCCGCCAGGCATACCATGAAGGCATCCCCACCGTTCTGAATACTATTCTGGCTTCTTCCCCATGAGTTTTATGTTCTTTATAAACAATAATTCTGCCACCAAATAGCATAATTATACAGGAAAAACAGAGGTGTATATATAAGTGGGTTTTCTAATGCTCAGTGCTGTTCCCACACTCTGCTCCTGTGTCAGTGAGAAGAGGTGAATGCTGAGTAGAAACAAGATAGGCCCTTCTCTTTACTAGCTCCTCCTCTCTGGAAAGGAAAGCTTCCACCCACTCATGTAAGGACAGACTGTGGCCGTACAGGATGGTGAACTTTAGGGTGATCTCCATGTTTTTTCTTCATCTCCTCAAATTTGGATTCTTCTCGCTGCCTCTTTTCTTCATCCAGTGTTTTTAAATACTCTCTCCTCTCATGTTCTTTCATCATCTCATATTTCTTAAACTCCTCATGGCGGGTCTTATCATAGTTTTCCAGGTCACTTGTAGCCTAAAAATACAGATACATGTAGACATATGATTATGCCACACAATTATGTTAACATATGATGTTAAAAGCACTGTTTTGTTCAGATCTGTGGGCAGGCTGACCATATTGCCATTCTCCTTTTAAACATGAGGTATACTAGTTGGGGGTTTATAATTTTCAGACAGTTCAAGTTACTAAAGGATGTTTTGGTAGCGCTTTTGAAAACAACATGTTTATACCTGATATAGTTTCTTCATTATTTATGTTTTAGTTTTTGGATTCACTGTACCCTTTCAAAAACAACTCCAAAGCAAAGACCCCCTAAAGTGCTCATTACACTCTGGCAATATCTCAGCTGAGAAATGAGAAGACAGAACCCTGTAGTAGATTTTTATCCAGCACTCACCGCTCTGATCAACATATCTAAGTCTTTAGGTTCAAAGGTGTCGGGATTCTGATGGTTCAGGTGCTCAAACTGTTTAAGGAGAGCCTGATGGTCTATGCCAGTGTCTAAAAGAAAGTACAAACAGAAATATTATTATTATGGGAGAAGACTCTGACAGCATTTACTTGCCACACAACTGTATTTTCTGAGACCCAACCCTTAACATTCTTCTATCCTATATTAATCAGTCTAGTAGGATCTTGAGGAAAATGTTTAAAAACACATTTGGATAAGGACTGCATATGGAGAATATCATCTTAAGTCTAGTTTTAAATCTGATCCATCTGAGAGGGAAGAAAAGAGGGGTCTGTGTGCCTTTTTTTTTTCCTGCATCAGATAGAAGACTAAGATATTAGATGATGTTATAGGGAAAAGATTAACAAAACAAATAAAAGGAAACCTAACAGCTTTGCCTGCTGTTGCTCTAGAATGCTCTTTTGTACATGTTCCAAGACGTTGGCTAGGTGTACAGAGGCAGCTGTGTTTTATAGATAACCTGGCTATACTTGCTGTGTGTGATGTCAAGCACACTGCCAGGGCTGATTCTAAGCTTTACAAAATGTTTTCCCACTTCCAGCATTTTCACATGTCTAGGTTTAGGCTAGACTACAGACCCTTATTCTCAGAGTAATTTAAACTGATGCATTGAATTCAGTGGGATCCCTTCCCATAACTCCCCAAGTTTTTTAATAGTACAACAATCTGCACAGGCAAATTAACCTCTCTTTATTAGAGCTACTTTGTGAGAAACAGCATTTCAGAAATAAGATCATGAAGTCCATCAACAGGATCTTTGTTTATGAACAACTAATTATCTTTAAAATGAAACCACTAATAAGACATTTAGAGAATTAGTTCTAAATGTAAACTTTAAAAATTCTTCAGTAGGAAGAAATAAATAGGGATAGCATCATTTCCCATACAAACATACAGCAATCAGAATCATTAAAAACCTGTACATTTTATTCACTAAAAGAAATTACCTCAGTCTGTACAATTTCATTAGCAATTAAGAACATGTGATCAAGAATTTTTCTCACTCTGAATGTTTTTCTTTACTCAAGAGTTTAAAATTGCCCCAGAAATAAGAAAAATAATCCTCCAGACTGTGATGTTTAATATTCGTTATACTTTTGTACAATAACTCTAATCAGCGTAAACGAGGCTTAAAAAGAGAAAACTGAAAACTTTTGTCCTGAGCGTAAACAAAAAACCCACAACAAAACAGAACAAAAAACTGCAACTCATTCTCTGCACTGTAAAGACATGACATGCTATGCAATGTATTCTTAAGCACAGCCCTACTACGCTATAGAATCATAGAATGGTTTGGGTTGGAAGGGACCTTTAAAGGCCATCTCATCCAACATCTTTAGCTAGATCAGGTTGCTCAGAGCCCCATCAAGCCTGACCTTGGATGTCTCCAGGGATGGGGCCTCCACTTCTCCGGGCAACCTGTGTCAGTGTTTCATCACCCTCATAGTAAAGAACTTCTTCCTAATGTCTAAAGTAAAGGTACCCTGCTCTAGTTTAAAACCATTGCTCCTCATCCTGTTGCTACATGCCCAGTTCTCAGGGACTAGTCTCTAAATGATGCACTACAAAAAGAAGTTGAAAAATAATTAGAAGTATCTGAAAAATCCACTGCCAGAATCAAGTATAGTTATTCAAAAGGCTTTTCCTTTCTTCCTAATTCCTATGAAGGCGGGTCTTTAGTGGCCCTAGGCCAGCTCAGAAAGGACACTCACTTCAAGCTTGCAGCCATATTGCTGACAACAAACAGAGCGTAACGGATGGACTTTGGGCACCTCTCCAACACAATCCCATCTGTTAACTCACCTATTTAAATTTTGTATCCTTACCTTGAAGAGAATCCATCTTAGCTTTAATTAACATTCTTAATCTTGCCACCTCTTGTCTTTTTAGTTCATCCAGCCGTGTTCTCACATGGTGGCTTACTAAATCAAGCTCTCTACTAAGTTTTCCACTCTGTCAAAAAACAAAACAATATATAAAAACTAGAAGAACGTAGACATTAGGATTTCCATTAGACATGAGCTGCAAGACAGCAGCCTACTGGCAGTCTCTGGCAATACTGTACCCACACTGTAAGAACCTCAAAATTTTTTCCAAGAGTAGATTCAAATTTTTTTTCAGCTTATGGTTATAGAAGCAGAGAAGAATCCTAAAAGCTTTCTGAAAAGAGAATTTCTAAGTAGTTTGCTCCTCCGAAGAGCAAAAACATGACCCTGAAGCAGCAATACGTAATGATGTTTAAGAAGTGACAAATCTCCTGATCAAATGTTTTCAAACTAGTTCAAAAGAACTGTGAGGCGCACACCAAGTGCTGCGTTCATCCACTTGATGACAGCTTGAGAAGGTACTGCCACAGCCACCAGTGTGCATTGCAAGAATATTTACCAGGATCTGGAAATGGATAGTAACCTTCCTGGGTTACACTAGATGTAGCACAGAAGAAAAAGGAGCCAAAAGCAGCAAATGGCAACATGGGGGATTAAAGGAAATGCAAAAGGCAGGATCTCCTCTTTAAGTCTATCACTTTAGACTGTTTCCTACCTGTCCCTTGCTGAATTTCTAGCTCATAAAAGGGAATGCAGAACAGCCACCAACCACCCAGAGCCAGGAACTAAAGCAGAAAAGACAAGAATGTGGTGAGGTTTAGGAGAGAGTGCTGTGTGGATGGGCACAAAAGAAAGGACAGCAGTGGAGAAGCCTGAGGTCTATTTTATTCCTATATACGCTGACTTTAGCTCCAGCACAACTCCTCCATTTCCCTCGACTTTCAAATCGGACTGTCTTGTAATTCTCTTCCCTGTCATCATATTCATTTGTGACACACCACCTTAAGGTCATGCAGATACACCTCTGTTCCAAATTACGGTGTTCCAAATTACTCAGCAGGCAACGGCAAGTGGAAGCTACTCTTGCAGCTGTTTCAATGTACATGAAGGTTCACGTACCTGCATGGAGTCTCAAACTGGCTTTTTAGTAGGTAGGCAGAAACTATGCAGTCAAGTTATGTTGCTGGGTGGTTTTTATGCTATGGGATATTCTTTAATGAACAGAAATTCTTCTGTTCCTTGACTAAAGACAAAGATCAAGTAAGAGCTAAATACCTCAGTAAATATAAATGACGGGAAATAAAAGGTCACAAAAATTGAGAGGAGTATGAAAAAAGAAAAGGAAGAAAGAATACAATGCATATGGGTCAGGTTTATGGCTTTAATAAACCTCAGTTTAACTCTCTCTTTGTACCTACCTTAATTTCCTCTATATCAGCAGTCTGGAGTTTCTCCCTGAAATGCTTATCTGTCTCCAAGACATCTATCACTTGCCTGAGATATTCATCATAATAAAGTCCTGTATCCTTCAAAAAAAGAACGTGAAATTGAGAACATAATATACTAACAAACATTTCATTTTGTTTAAATAGAATAATTACACTGAAACTCATATCTCAGCAACACACACATTAAATTCTCTTACATATCTTCTTTTTTTATGATTTGCATCATTGCTCTATAACAACTCCTGTGACTCATTTGTTTCAGCAACACACAAGAAAGAGAAAAGTGTCTAAGAATCCATGTCATACACAAGCATTTGTCGTGTTCATATTGGTGTTTCTGTTTTGTTTTGTTTAGAACACTGCAACTCATTCATTTCCACTGAGTGGAATTTCCTAAGCCACCACTCAATCACTTGAAAGAAGTCTCTGTGAAACAGTGAGTAGATCTTTCTGCTGTAAGCTGGGGAAATCCTTTCATGTGCCACCTCACCGTAGGAAAAAAAAAAAATAATAGCAAGAGAACAAATTTAAACAGAACCTCATCACAGCAGATGGTAGACTGTATGACAATACTGGCTAAGATCAGTTTCCTTCCTGCAAGTAACTCCAGTAAAGTACATCTGCTTTTCAGGAAAGGAGTTTGCTAGATTAATAACAGCTAGGAAAAATCACTTAATTAGAAAAATTTCATTACACTTACTGGATTTTCTACCTTTTCTCCTTCCACGTGACCTTCTCCTTTGACTTTTGTCTTATCTATGTCTATAGGTACAGCTTCCAAGGCCATTAAGACACATGTCATCAGCAAAATACACTGTTGGGGCAGGACAGATAGCCACTTCATCTGAAATGAGATCAAGCCACAAAAATTGACATAAATAAGGTTACTGTACTGTAGCAATTAGAATTTTTTTATATTTCTACATTGATACATGTAATAAACCACTTGGAACATGTTCTACTGCTCTGAAGGAATACTAAAACTCAAAGAATTAAATACAGCTTTAATTTTTAAAGACCGTTATTTCACCAGCAGATTTCCTTAGATTATCTTACAGTTGTGTGGCAAACCTAAATTGTACTGGAAATAGTGAGAGGTTTTGAACACACCGTGGTATTATTAAAGGCTCCACAGAACAGGTGGGAACACCCAGCGTTCGTTCATACACTTGTTCAGGATGGCCAAGTCCTGCATTACTAATAGTGACATTCCTCCTCTGATCAAGTCTGTGCTGAAGCTATTGACAAACTCCTAAAGATAAACATGGACACTGAATTAGATCTTAGTTTAGTAATGCCAGCAGTTTCTACCTTTCAGCAATGGAGTCGTTTGCCTAATTTGGAGCCAAGATCTGTTCCAAGATTTATTTGCAGAAAAAGTATTTTACAATCCATGTTATATTCATATTTCAAGTTGACAGAGATTCCTAAAAAAAGTGTTCAAACTACCTGAAATTGTTGCTGAGGCTGGGATTTATTAAGCGAGCCTCCCCTAGGCTTTCTTTGGTGTCTTACATGGGGTCAACTCACACACAGTTTGATGAGCACTGAGTGCTTTGAGTTCTTGACCTCTGTCTTCTCCCCGTCCATCACATTTGGTTGAAAACTGTGTGATTCATTCAGAAATTGATTAGAGGAAATACTTAAAGAGCACAAGTACACAAAATTCAGCTAAAAGAGTAATGACAGTAATCCAGCATCTGACAGCAAAGTCAGGCTCTTGAGAGAATTCAGCCTGTGACGGACTCTGAATATTCTATATAAAGCTTGAGCAAACTCCAATATGCACTAGTAGTGGAAATCGCCTCCTGAAGGCCTTTTGATAAAACATGCTCCAAAGCCCACAAGTACCAGGAAAAATTAAAAGCAGACAAGACCAAAAGTAACAAGAAAAAAAAGATCTATCATTGCAGCTGACTTTGTAGACTACTGTGCTTAACAGAGGACTTCGGTAGTATTTTGAGGAAACCAATTGTTTACACAGTCTGTGCTATAACAAGTAAAGTGGAAATACATTTATTAGAATTAAAAATAATTACCCAGTGAAGACAGTTATTGGCCTTATGTACTTATTAGTCCAAGACTGTACTCATCAAAATTCTCTCAATCAAAGCAGGTGACTAAGACATGTGTCACCCTTTACAGTCACAACTGAGTCACTGGGCACATTCTACTTTGACACGTACTAGAAGACAGAAACCAGGTCCACTGCAAATTCTAACATTAATCAGCTGCAAGAAAAACTCAGCATGAATCTCAAATTCAGCAACTAGAGGGAAGAGTGACAAGTGGCAGAAGAGGAAAACTAGGGTTCCACCTTTTGTTCCACTAAACATGTTACTATTAAGAGTTCATCCCACTCTCAGCCTGTTACCACCTACCTTCAACAGCCACCGAGTCAACAGACAATCAGAGTGTTGCAGAAGAGGAGCCCTGTCAATGTGTTCATTGTCATCAGTGGCACATGATGCACAGCACACAGCCTCGTGCCCTGCCATGGGTGCGTTGCTCAAGCCTATTATTTATCACTACTCTTCCTACTGCTACATAGTTTAACAGAAATAAAAGTGGTCATGGATCTGCCCAGCTGAGGAATAGTGCTAATATTACAATTGTCATCAGGAAACTGAGGAATTTTAGTCAGAGACATGTGGCCCCACCCAGGTGAGAAGTTAGGACAATTGTAATCTACTTGTATCAGAAATCGATCTCGTCTTTCCTAGAGGAATAAAAAACTATTTCTACTTGTAATATATAGAGAACTAATCCTAAAAGTAGTGCTCTAGAACTGACAAATTCTGTAATTGATAAACAAAGCCAATATTCTCAACTTTCAGGGGAAATGTAAAAGAAAAGCTTCTCTGCGTATAAAGTATTAAAAAAAAAAAAAAACAGAGCAAGAGCTAAAAGAATGAGATAGTCAGCAGAAAATAGAACCACCAGTGTACCTGCGTGAACAGGAAAACACAGTTAGAAAAGAAAAGCAGCAAGCTGTCTGCCAGCAATCTTGATCTTGCTCCCACTAAAATTAATCACAAATTCCCATCATCTTCAGTGGAAGAGGACTGGACATTTGAATTTTAAGGGCTTTGAATGATAAGTACAAAATGCAGCTTCTAATGTTTGTTCTGGCAACATTAACACATGCAGCTAAACATGGCATTAGCACACCTATTTCATGCAACTGCCAGGGGTTTATAACATAAACGTGAAAATTTACTTGTTGTTAACTCTACACCTATTGCCCAGAAAACAGCATAGCTCTAGTACTAACGTCTCCATCACCTTCCTAGCAAAGCACAAATATTTTTAACGTAGTAACACTCAATGTCTAAAACTGAGATAGGCAAATGCACAGATACCAGTGCACAGTGTGTGGTGCCTGCACATGTACAAGCTGGGTGGATGATTATGAAGAGAGCCCAACGCCATAAATGCCGTATCGCGTGTTTGCCCTTGCCAAACCCCTGCGTACCACAATGGGCAATGTAAACATAGATCCAGACTTACAGAACACACAAATAAGCCTCCTAATTCATAAAACTTCCCACACGTCTGCTGTATCTGATATGAAAGTAAGGACACCTATGTGAGATTCAGTGCAGACATGCGGGATGACAGCAATATTCTCTGTAGTCATGACTGTACTGTGACTCCCTATTTTAATGTGGTATGTTGGAGAAGTGAACAATCTTCATATGCAGTGCTGCAGAAAAAAAAAAAAACAACAAACAATAGGAAAGAGATAAAGTAGATCTACTGATCTTCGTCTTTCCAAGAATATTCTAACCTCAGAACTAGAATGGAAGTATTAGAAATGTATCTGAACTACATAAAGTACTTGTCAGCTGTTTGAGGTAGCCATCTAGCATCTCTAATCTGTTTTCACCGCTATGAAACAGTGATATACCCGTCCATATATCACAGTTTAAATTGAGAATGTCGAATTCCATGGGGTTTTCTATTTCTTTAAAAAATATTTGCAAATATATACATTGATTAGCTCCTAAAATCTTTTTTAAAATTACATTAAACATTTGAAATCACACAAAACCAGATTAGTCTTCTGCCATATTTTCTGTTTGAAAATACCTCAAGTATCAGTGTTAGTTCCTCCCTGTTCTTTCAGGAGGAGTTGCCGTGCAGACACTGCAGGCTGTCATACTTTAACCAATGACGAAGCTCAAGGAATCTACAGTTAATGCATCTTCTTCACAGTATTAGTCCATGAGCTGAACTGGTATTAGCATGGCTAGAATGTGGCAACAATTCTGAGAAGCAATTGCAAAAACTTGTTTCAGCTCAAGATGCTAAGATAAACCTCTGGTTGAGGTGAAGATGCCTTGTCACTAGGTCACTCCTCTTAAAAGATTTCTCTTAGAAGACACGCGCAGAAAACAATGTGAAGAGGGAAATGGCTACAATATGCAATAGTTTTCCCCTTCCGTGTTCTCTTTCAAAATACAGAAACACCTGCATGCTTTTCTTCACTTTTAAAAGCTAATACACAAGCATCATTTTTCCCTCTCTCCTCTTTCAGTAAATGTCCCACCCACACCAGCAGCAACAATTTTTCTTTCATTATCCTTCAGGCACTTTTTTCTCTGCTGTCAAAGCTGTCCATTAACCACATGATTCAGACACTGCTTCTCTTTTTCCAGCCAATATCCAACAGGTTTCGACCAGGACATGCTCTCCTAATCTTTCGTTCAAGTACACCCCACTCAGTTCTCTGCACCAGGGGACATTCCATATTTTTTAAGAAGCATTTTAATATGGTACATAAATATAGTTTTTTATATAAACAGTATTATTTAAGTGCATTAAGGCAGTAGAATTCTTTTATCCTGTACACTTAAATTCTTTTCTTTTGGCTTGTATTTATTACATTTTTCTCACTGCACTTTATCTGTTTAGTTCTCTCTACAGTTAAAAGTTGGCCAATAGGACAGATTCTTTTTTCAGCTTCTCAGAGAGGATAGCATGCCTCAGTGTGTGTAGTACAACATTTGCTGACAAAACCTGGTTTTTTTTTAAAAAAAGAAACACTTCAGCTGTTTTATTAAATGAGTCACCCAAATGCTGGGGGCTACTGTATAGTAAAACACACTACAAATGCTCAAGTGGCAAAGAAGAAAGTACTGTTTGCAGCACAACTGTATGTCCAGAAATAAAACCTGCACAGAAGCAAAGCATACGGCTGCTGCTACACGTGCTTAGCTCTGGCCACGTATTTATACTACTACTTGCCTTCCAGGAATTTCCTTATCATTGAAAAAATAAGTATCAGTGCCTACAAAGCTATCTTACTAACTGAAGAATGCTGAAATACTAGTCTGGTTTTTAAAAGCAACTTGCATGATTTTATCAATCCTTTCCAATAACGTTTGCTCAAAAAAAAGTTTATGAAACCAATACTCCAGCAAAAACTTGTATCGAATTCAGTGGATACTTGAGGAAACTTTTACCAACTTCAAAAAGCAATTTAAAAACATAGCTTCCTGTTCGATAAGTTCAGTTCCCATACAGAACAAAAGACAACAACCCACCTGAAATCTCACAAATTCTTTTTGTATCCATGCGAACAGCAGTTTTGTCAGTGCTGGCATAAAAAGCAACTTTGTTTCAAATATACTACTACCTGCAACCAAAGTATTTGCTCATGCCGTAATCTCAAACCAAAAAGTTTTTCAATCATTCTACTAATATTAATTTTGCTCTAGTCAACAAGTGATAACGGTAAAGTAAACCTTGAATGCTCCAGAACTCCAAGGTACCTTTTTTACCCCTTTGCAGCAAAAAAAATTAGCTAACAAGAATAAATCTAGATCTAATAATATAGAG